CAACTCAAAAATAAACCTTATTGAATGTAATAAAGATTACAGGATTGCAACTGCATTGTAAGGATGGTGGTTTTGCCAGAAGAGAAAGGGAGGAGTCCACTGGAGGTATGCTGTAGTTAGGTGAAAAAAAAAAAATCCTGTCAAAAGCAAGATGATATAATGTACACTGTACAAAGGTAATGAATTCTATTTCTTTGTTTTTTATGTTAGTAAGTTAAACATTTGTGGTTCTCACGTGTCTATTAAAATGAGTAGCAATTGAATCATACACGTGCCTTTTGGGTTTATTCTTTATCTTTGAAAGAATTCCCTTCTTCTAAAACTGATAGTGAGAAGGTATCACCTTTGTGCCCTTAACAATCTTATTCTCCAACGAATTATGCCCTTCCCTCAGAGGTAGGTCTGGTTTAAGTATGTGGCATCTTTGGGAAATTGTGAGGCCTAGATTTTCTTAAAACTAATTTCAGTCTAACGCTTCAAATACTATCAGGCAACCAAACTTAGCTCCAATTTTAATCTATCAAAATACCTTGGAGGCAAATTTGAAACAAAATGAGAAATTCACAGGTAGTCACATACAAACCACCTGACATCTTTCCAACTACAGTATTGTTGCTGCTTATCACTTGGTAAACTCAGCAAAGTGTATTGTTGAGGGGGAGCGTAAAAGAGCTACTTTGCCTAGAGTCCTGTAATTTAATACCTTTAATACCAGAAACATGCAGAGGGTCAAGGTGATAGGCTAAAATAGGCATTATGTGTGATATCTGTCCTCTTTTTAATGTCTTCAGAGTGCAGGTTCTCTGAAATGAGACTATTCAATAAGCAGGAGAAACAGACAAGTCTATTTTCATATAAAATCCCAGCAGCATCTCCTTGCTCGTGCAAAGTTTGGAAATCCCTGTTGTTCTTGGGAGAAAGTATCCCACCCATTGATTCAACACTCAGTTGGAAGATTTGGAACCATCAAGGGAAGAAATATTAGTGTTCCCAAAGAGAACACATGATGTAGGTAAAGAGCATTAATGCCTCATTCAAATCTCTTCCAGTCTAAGAACATTCCCATTTTGCTGTTACCTTCATGTAACTTTCTTTATTTTAATCCTCTCTCCCATGCCACTGAATTTAGTAAAAGAGGAGCAAGTCAGAAAGCTGCATCCACTTCCTGCAGTACCCACAATGAAACGAACTCTGGATGTGGTATTAAGCACACTTGATCACAGTATACTACCATTAGATTATAAATCGCACACAAGTAGCTTAATTTATGACAGGCTATGTGACAAGGAGTTATGATTTTCTGGCCATGTGATGTAAATATAAATGTTCAAAAGGTGAAACTAAACTGGAGGACCAATACAGAAAGGGCACTGCAGCACAAAAGAGCATTCTATAGCCTGATGGACACAAAAATCAATTCACCAATTGGAGTCCATACATATTAACACCTCTCTATTTAAGTTGTTATATGTTTGCATCTTCATGGAAACAAAACACTTAATCTAGAGCCTAGGCCCATCTGAATCTTTTATACAATGCTGGGAATCCAGGATAGTATCTTTTCCATAAAGGATGTAGAGAGGGTGCAGCTATTTGTTTGTTTGTTTACAGGAGACACTTTCCTACAATCTCTTTGCAATGTGTAGTCATACTGTGATTGCATTCAGAAACAGCCTCCAGAAGAGTACAACTCTTGCAGTGCAGTTTTCCAATTTCACAAGTTGTTATTCTCTGAAGCTGCTTGCTGATTAACCAGCCATATCCACTTTTACCTTGAAGAATCAGAGTTTGTGGCCATGCGTGTCATTCTCACCTAGAGAGGCCCAGTAAAACTCCTGGTATGTTTAACAGCATACTTACTGAACCCTTCTCGTGGTGGTGGGGCAGGCTGATCAAGAAACACCTCTTGCCATGTGGTACTGAAATAGCCCACTCCCATGGAAGAACGTGCTTACCAGCAATTAAACTGAAAAATTTGATCTAAGAGCAAGTCAGCTTGCGTGTACAATATTATAGATCTTCCATTACCTATTTACTGCTGAAAATTTGAATCTTGAATGAAATTTGATCTAAAAGCCAGTCAGCTTGCCTGTACAATATTGTAGACCATGCCATTACCTATCTGTTTACTGGTTGGGCACATGAACGCATGCTATTTATCTGAATATAATTCAAGGTACACAAGTCGTACTACAGGCCATGCCTGATAAGTATCCATGTTTTTTCCATGTGCTGCTTGATACCTGACTCACTATTGCTCAACACTGAATTATCTTTATCTTTAGCCACAGCCTGAGGAGGAAAGGGGTGTTGTGTTGTAGACTAGGTTATGTTATCATCACAGTTCACAACATCTTGAGACACATAGGCCATATAAATGGCAGCATCAAACAATAGCATAGGATTGTGTATACTGCTCCAGCCTAAGGAAAATTTGAACAAGCAGAGGTGCAAAACATAGATGAGACATGAGTTTAAGTCTCATTGTACCCAAGTACCTTGCTGTAAAGCAGAGATAATAACTTGGAAGTGACCAATGAGCAGAAGAGAGAGAACAGTTTATAATGCCACTCTGAAAAGAAACCAGACCAAGCTGTTGAATCTAGGATATAAGATGGCGGCTACTAAGTGATGATGGGTAGGTGAGCTAGCCCTCGGGCATCTGTGGAGAAAACCCATGCTGACCCTGGATAACGGGATGGGGCTGCCCAGTCCAATCTTTGTAGAGTTCTCATAACTAAAGGTCATGTTATGCAGAATTGTGCTCGCATGCACCATTTTGGATCATTTGCCTGTTTATGACCTGTACCTCAGCAAGAATCCCAAATGTATCCTGCTTATTTGAGTACATTATGGAGTACATTATGGTAATTTGTAACCTTTCTAAGTGATCTCTTTGATAAAATGTGATGAGAAGAAATAAATTACACCAGTCTCCTAAGGGAGAAAAGGAGGTGTATCATTTTATCCTGCTCAGACCTTCCTGCTTATTTGAGTACATTATGGAGTACATTATGGTAATTTGTAACCTTTCTAAGTGATCTCTTTGATAAAATGTGATGAG